AGCCGTTATTGTGGGAGTTTCGGAAAAGGAGGTTGTGGGCCCTGGCGACATGTTTTAAATAATGTAGATGTAAGATGGAGACAATGGAACCTGTAAGAAAGAGAACACCCAAGATAGCTAGAAGGTTACTGGAAGGTGGTCGGAAAGTCGTCGGACGGCAGCAAAAAAAGGTGATTGGACCGGGGACTGACGGTTGCCGAAAAGTGATCGGAGAATGGTCGGACGGTGATACGGTGATCGAAAATGACCAACCGGTGACTGGAAATGGTCGGTCGGTGACCGGAAATGGTCGGATGGTGGCCGGACAAGCAGAGCAGGACCAACCTGCTCTGATACCAAGTTAAGAGAATAAAGAGAGTGAAAAGAAGATTTCTAATTTAGTGGAATGCATTACTCCACTCGATGATCTCATATATATATATAGGATTACAACATTTAAAACAACAACCACCAACTAGTAACAACCACCAACTACTAACTACTAACCACTAACCACTAACTAATAATAATTCTAACAAGGAGTATCAGGAGTTTTTGAAGTTCAAATCTAGAAAGTTTAACAGTCAGGGTCAGGGTCAATCCTCTTCAATGACAAGTGTTTCAATTGCATGCATTTCTCAATCTGTGGAAGGTCAGAACCCATGGATTCTTGTTTCAGGTGCCTTTGATCATATATCTAGTAATAGTTCATCGTTTTCCTTCATGTCTTATCCTAAAATTCCTCATTTAATCATTGTAGCTAATGGATCTAATGTGAAATCTCAAGGTGTTGGCCAAATTCCTTTAACCCCATCTCTAAATTTAAATTTTATTCTTTTCATTCCTAATTGCCCTTATAACTTGATCTCTCTAAGTCAATTTACTCGTTCTTTGAATTGTTCTGTAACCTTTACTTCCAATTCTTTTGTTATTCAGGAACATGGTACGGGTCGTCTGATTTTAGAAGGACATGAATCACATGGTCTGTATTATCTAAAACCAAGTCATTCGGTGTCTTGTCTGGTTTCTCCTGTCCCTAAACCTTTGCATGATCGTCTGGGTCACTTAAGTCTATCTAAGTTGAAAGTGATGACTCCTAATCTTCAACATCTTCGGGTTTTAGAGTGAAAATCTTGTCAATTAGGAAAACATGTTAGGTCTACTATTTCTAAACAGTCTGAAACTCGATGTAATTTTCCTTTTTCAAATATTCATTCTGATGTTTGGGAACCAAGTCGTGTTTTCTCTTTTGACTTTCGGTATTTTTGTAACCTTTATTGATAAATTTTCTAGATGTACTTGAGTTTATTTGATGAAAGACAAATCTAAACTTTTGTCCATTTTTGTGTCCTTGTTCAATGAAATTAAAAATCAATTTGGGAAGATAATTAAAGTTCTCCGAAGTGATAATGCCAAAGAATATTTTTGTTTCCTTTTCTTCTTTTTTATCTTCCCAAGAAAAATGACATTGCAGAAAAAAAAAATACACACATTAAAACTGCACGCTCTCTAATGCTGAATGCTAATGTCTTTGTTCATCATTGGGGAGATGCAATTCTCACTACTTGTTTTTTTATTAATCGGATGTTATCTTCCTCTCTTAAAAATCAAATTCCACATCCTCTTATCTTCCCAGATTATCCTCTTTTCCATGTATCTCCTCGTGTATTTGGTTGTACTTATTTTGTTCACAATGTATCTCCAGGTCTTGATAAACTAAGTGCTAAGACCATTAAATGTGTTTTCTTGGGGTACTCTCGACTTCAGAAAGGGTATAAATGTTATTCTCCATCTTCCAAAAGATATTATATGTCTGCTAATGTCACCTTCTTTGAGGAAACACCCTTCTTTTCTTTTCCAATGAAAGATGGTTCATCAATTCAACAAGTTCTGCCTATACCTGTTTCTTTCCCAATTCAGTCTATAGGTCATAATGATTCACCTCCTACACCTTTACCTGATGAGTCCGTAGTTGCCCCAAAGACGAAAGAGATCATCCCTAGGAGGATTAATAGAAGCATGACTAGAAGGGAGGCCTCCTCTTCACCTTCCATTTTGAATTTACTTAGTATTTTTACTTAGTATTTTCTTTTTCTAAGTTTTCACTTATTTTCGTTTTCCTTTTGTAGGCTCACTTTTTGCACCTCCTTTTTGAAGAATACCACCTTTTTGGTGAAAAAGAAGCCTTGGATCCATAGGATACATGCATGGACAACCCAAATGTATATGACACTCCTTTTTCATGTCCTACACCCCTTTTTGGAGAGGAAGAAGCTTAGGATGCAGGATTGGTAGGATTGGGACAACCCAAAAAGGAAGCACACCTTTTTTTTATGTTCTCCACACTTTTAGAGGTATTTTTGGTGGGCTAGGACGAATTTAACATATTTGGACCATGGGGACTCTAGCCTTTAGGTTTAGGTTAAGTTTATGTCTCCTTTTTGTAATTTCATCTAGGTCCCTTCCCCCAAAAGCCTATCAATAGAAAACTTCCCCTCATGTAATTAAGTTGAACATTTATGAAAAGTTTGTGAGGTTTCTTAGAGTGTTTCATCTCTTTAAGTGTTTTATCTTGAACCTTGGTTCAAGTGGCAACAACCACCACTTATCTAGGGTGGCACATCTCCTAATGGCATGCCAACACTCCACCACTACCATACTTCTCTTCTCTTCATCTTTTCTTCTTTATTTCTTCACTTCATTGATTTATCTAAGGGACTGGTCCATTTTTTCAGCCCTTGTCTTTATTCTTTTATAGTTTCATTCCATCTCTTCCTCCCTCCATAATCCTTTGAAATAAACCTTCACATTTAGATAGGCAATTATCTTAATGTCCAGTGGGAATTTTCCTTGGGTTTGCTTACTTTATTGCTTAAAATTCTGCACCTTACTTTATTTTACATCATTACTAGTTCTTACAGATAATTGTGATTCAAATCCGTCTCCATCAGTTTCTCATACCATGGATCCTACAACCTGACCTCCCACTTTTGATTCTAGTTGGCCTATTGCACTTAGAAAAGGTACTCGTTCCACTTGCAATCCCTTTCTTATTTATAATTTTTAAAGTTACCATCATCTACCTCCTTCATATTCTTCTTTTGTTATCTTTTTGGCTGATACGTCTATTCTTAATAATGTTCATGAGGCACTTGATCACTCTGGATGGCGACAAACCATGATTGATGAAATGCAGAAACTTGAGCACAATGACACTTGGGAGCTTGTTCTTCTTTCTCCTAGCAAAAAGGTTGTGGGTTTTCGATGGGTCTATCCAGTTAAAGTTGATCGTTTTAAAGCTTGTTTAGTAGCTAAAGACTACACTCAAATTTATGGCCTCGACTACTGTGATACCTTCTCTCCAGTAGCTAAGATTTCCACTATTCGTCATTGGCCCCTTCACCAACTAGACATTAAAAATGCCTTTCTTCATGGTGACCTTGAGGATGAGATTTATATGGAGTAACCCCCTAGCTTTATTGCTTAGGGGAGCCTGGTTTAGTGTGCATGTTACATCAATCTCTTTATGGCTTGAAGCAGTCACCCCGAGCTTGGTTTGAAAAATTTAGTTATGTTATGCAGTTGTTTGGCATAAAAAAGAGTGAAGCCGACCACTCAGTGTTTTATTGTCATTCCTTTTCAGGCAAGTGTGTGTATCTTATGGTTTATGTTGATGATATTGTTATTACAGAAAATGATTATACTAAGATCAGTCAACTGAAGAATAATTTGTTTTCTCACTTCCAAACTAAAAATCTTGGTCAACTAAAATATTTTCTTGGTATTGAAGTGGCCCAATCAAAGAAAGGTGTGATCATCTCTCAAAAGAAGTATGTTCTTTATATTCTGAAGGAGATTGATATTTTAAAGGAGATTGGTCTAACAAATTGTAAGCCCATTGATACCCCAATGGACCCTAATCAGAAATTGATGAAGGATAAAAGAGAAAAGTTGTCAGATCCAGAAAGATATAGGCGGTTGGTTGGTAAACTCATTTATTTTACTATTTCCAGACCAAATCTTTCTTATGCAGTTGGAGTAGTTAGCCAATTCATGCAAAATCCTTGTGTTGATCATTGGGATGCCTTGATTCGCATTCTGAGATATATTAAAGGGGCCCCAAGACAAGGGTTGTTATATGAAGATAAAGGTAATACTCAAATTCTTGGTTATTGTGATACAGACTGGGTTGGTTGTCTAATTAATAGAAGATCGACTGCTGGATATTGTATCTTTATTGGAGGAAATTTGATTTCTTGGAAGAGTAAAAAGCAAAGTGGTGTTGCTTGATCTAGTGCATAAACTGAATATAGATCTATGGCACTTGCTACATGTGAACTTGTGTGGATCAAACAACTCCTTCAAGATTTAAAATTTTGTGATATTGGGCAAATGAAGTTATTGTGCAATAATCAGGCAGATCTCCATATTGTCTCCAACCCAGTCTTTCACGAAAGAACAAAACATATTGAAATAGATTGTCATTTTGTTAGGGAGAAGTTGTTGTCTAAGGAACTTGTAACTGAATTTGTAAGCTTCAATGAACAATTGGCAAATATTTTTAACTAAATCTTTAAGAGGACTTAGGATTCAATTCATTTGTTCCAAGCTTGGTACATACAATTGTATGCTCGAGCTTGAAGGGGAGTGTTGAGATTTGTTGTTTATGTATCTTTAGGTATTCTTTTTCAATGTTCCTTAGACTAGGATTAAGGGTTTGGGTTGAAGTCCATATCCTCTCTATTGTAATTCTTTTTTTTATAAATACAATATATCAGTGTCTTTGATCACTGCATCAAACCCTAAATAAGTTTTCTCAAGTCAAGTAATTTTCATTTGGGTTCATTTCCTATGGATAAGTGATTTCTTCGGATATTCTTCCTAATGAGACATCTTATTAAGAGGGTCTGAGTGGCAGGGTGGATAAAAAGCAACTCAGAGTGCAGAAGCATTTCAAAATATCGCAATCTTACTATTTCAACAGCATAATTTTATAAATCATTGAAATGAAAGATAAATACCTGGGCTAGATTTTTTCCTGTAACTACGCCAATCCTGGCAGATATGTACTGACAGAATATAGCAGCAAAATTGAAAATAAGCATGAAAGCCATCAGATCAAACCCAAACCGAGCACCACCTTCAACAGTCGCTACCCACTTTCCAGGGTCAATATATCCTGTAGAAATCAAAAGCATAGGTACAACAGCAGGAAGTGACTGACGCAGAAAGCTAGGAGGGTGGTTGGGACTTAATGTCTCTGCTTCCATTTTACTCTTTGATATCATACCAGCAACAATAAGGCTACTGGAAAGAATATGATACTCAGAACATAACAAACACTTTGAAGCAGCTAAACTGTCCACGACCCTCAAGTAATTCCCTTACTGCAACATAACTATCTTTCTATCAATAGATTCTATTTATTACAATCGCAGACACGTTAGCAGCTTCAAATATAAACTAAGCTGCTAAAAGTACTTGCAACTTGCAAAAGTTTAACATGTAGCACAACAGTGTATGCCACCAGCCAGCCAATAATATTCCCATCAGCTGTGATCATCAGATAAAAAACTGAGGTTTTCAGTCAAACCAACGCGTATACCATCACAAATCTTTTTCAAACATCACTACCAACAATTTCATTACTAGCGTCAACCTGACTGAAAATCAGTACAATTGACGTCAAAGTTCATAAACAGCTCCGCCGATTCTCATTTCCAAAACAAACCCATCATCATCGCTTCCCCACTCGAATTTCCCCATCCTGCACCATCAAATGGACCAATGTAACAACATTAGCACCAAAACAAAAACATCACAACAAAATAGTTAAATAGCAGAACACTCATTCATCACTCGAGCATTCGTCATCAATACCAAGCCTCAAAAGTAGAAACAAGTAACACGCAACCAAATCCATATGAAAACTCCCTCAAAAAAAAACCCTTAGCAACACCAATAATCAGAGCAACAAATACTCTACCATTCATGAGTTAAAACAAATTAACTATTCGCAGTGTTACGGAAACGGTACAAGACAAGTAGCAAAACAGAACTTCTCAGGTCCAAACTGACGGAGAAGAAGTAAACGTAGTTGCAGAAGAAGCGAAAGAGGTAAAACCCTCGGCGAGTGGAAAAGCTCAAGTAAGAGATAACAGAGGCAACGAAATCAGATGCAAGCGAAGTAGGGATAAACATTAGCACGAAATTCGAGGACGATGGTGATGGCAGGTATGACCGTACTGTTAGGGTTGTGAAAAAATATTTACCTCCTCTTCTCTGCTTCTTCTCTTTTCTTCATCTGCCAATCCCTCTAACTAGATCTCACGAACTCTCACGGGACCATTCAGAGTTTCATGTGCATTGAGAGATATACATATATTAGTGGAATATTTTATTTAGTTTTATATTATTATAATTATAGAAACGAAGAGAGAGAGAGAACGAAAGCGGAAATTGTTCTATGAAAGCAAACAGAGAAGTTGTGTTATGTTGAAGTGTGTGTGTGTGGGTGGGGTTTGAAGAAGGGAGAAGAGGAGAGAGAAAGGGTGAGTGTTGAAAGGGGGCTTGGTAACTCCAAAAGCTCTTATAAAGGACAGTTACCGTTTTGGCGTTTTGCATATGAAATTTCTTTTATAGCTTCTTCTATACCTCATTCCCATTTTTTCTCCAAAAGGGAAAAATAATGTGTGACATTTTCCTCTTAGGCATTATCCCATAAATATTCTGCCAAGGAAAGAAAAATGGGGATGCAGTTATCACCCAAATATTTATGACTGTCCCATGTAAATAAAGCACATATTGTCATTAAATCCATTCATATTTAGTGGAAACCCTTCATGATTAAAATCTATGTTTCGATATTATAAAATTTCAAGTAAAATAGGAGTTGTTAATGTTGCACCAAATACAAGATACATTTTTTATGTCGAATCTTGTTTTGAAAACCGTTTTCTAAATGTTTGCGTGTTGTGAATTAATTACTTAAATAAGGTAAATAAGATTCTTTCTCCGCAATAAGATACCAAAAAAAAAAAAAGGTCAAATTGGTGAGAGTTTGTTTAGTTGTTGTGGTTTAACTAAGATTAAGTTAACTGATGAACAAGCTTAGAAATAATTAAAACTAACAAGGGGTGTGTTTGGAAATTCCATTCAACAGAAAAATCACACGAAAGAGAAAGAAGGAGGAAAATGAATTGACATTGTGTCAGATGAAAGAGAGATGCAGACATGTACATAGGGAAGAAAATCTTATTTATTTATAAGCAAAGTGATGTTTATGTGACAGCGTGTATCATTAATGAAGACTTTGAAGTTGCGTATTTGACTTAATTAATTAAGACAGAATAATAACAATGTTTGAATGGAGAGTAATGAAGATCGAAAAGAGGGTTGAGATTTTGGAAAGAAAGGGATGGAAGGTCGGAGAAAAGGGCATATCTGGAATTCTGCCATTGAAATACATGAATGCATAGCAGATGAAATAAAATATAAAATGGGGATAAGAAGATGTCATTGAATGTAATTGAACTCGTTCTTATCGAAACGCTGAACAAGTATTCAAGAAACAAAACCGAAGAAATGATGATGAAACTGATTGAACAAGAAATAGTTGGGTGACTTTATCTTCGCAATATAATAAATATATTATAATTCTGGATCTACCCAACTCTGTAGGGTGGAGTTTGAAAATGTTGGGTGAAAAAACTTTTAATGCAAATTAAAATTATTTTAAAATGAAAATGTGCAAATTATAATGGAGGACTGTAAAATTATACTGCGAACACGTGGCATCTGCGGCATAAGAGCGAATTGCTGGAGCGCATGACATTTTGTTTTGAAAAGGGAAGGGTTGTGATAGAAAGTGTGTTTTGGTGTCAGCGTCAAAATCATCAAAAGGAAGCGATAAGTCACATGATCCATGATTCTCGCTTTGTTTATGCTTTCATCCACTACTTTCACGCCATCTCTTACTTCTTTCTGTTACTTCCACCACAGGCAAAATCTTCACCAAATACACATGCTTCATATATTAGTATCCTCTTTTTTTATAAATATGATTAATTTTTTTTTCGATATTAATTTTATACGTGTCACATCTTCCTATCAAATCCTTCATTCAATATTTAAAACCTTTCTACTTTTCATTTTTTAGATATCTGATTAATTTAAAAAAATATAATTGTACTTGTTATTTTTTTTTCCTAAATATCTGTTAATTTTTATTATGTAACGAGATAGCCAATGTGAAAGTTATATTATTTTTTTAACATATAAATTTGTGGAATAAGTCACACGTAAGTATGAAATTATTATTTTTTAATTTTAAAAAAGCTAATTTTATAAGCATTTTAAGTTCTTCATATTATTTGATCAAAATATTTATTATCTTTGTTATAATTATTTTTTACAAATAAGTTAACCTATTTGTAAATAAGTTTAAATTACCTTATAATTTTATAAATGTATTATAATAAAAATATATACATAAATAATTTCGTAAAGTTATATTTATATATACACATGTTTAATTTAAATTAAATGGGATTGGTTTTCAAAATTCAATATGAAGTATAATCTAATTCAGAAAAATCTATTTTTTATTTAAAGAATATATTAATAATAACATAAACATCATTAAGTTTGTGACATAGGATAAAGAGACTTAAAAATAAAATCTTGTCTATTATCACTTGAATCATAATTAAAAAAAAAATCAAGTTGAGTCAAGAATAAAAAATTATTAGGATAACAAAGCAATTACATTAAAATTCGGAATAGGTAATAGTTTTCCTAAACCAAAACTTAAATAATATTTTAGTTGTATAACTAGTAATACAAGAAAAAAATAATGATTGAAGCAAGTTTAATAACATAAATTCAGCATTTTATTCTTTTATGGGCTTATAGGCTTATGGGTTTTTGCATGTTTAAATTATTCTACATGTCCAATCAGGCCCAATAATCAAATCCGCTAATATTGAATGGCAACAAATATCGTTTTGTAAAAGCCTTTTTATACGATAGTTTCTCATTTTTTTTATTTTTTTTTTTGCAATTTTCTGTTTCTGGACCAGAGGATACTTTTCGGCTCTTCCTTCCTATACCTCCATACTTTCTTCCTGCACCTCCACATATTAAGTAAAATAAGTAAAATAATCTTTCAATCATTTTTGCATTTCTTTTACTTTCCTAAGAAAGTTATGTACCTCCATAAATCTATAAATTTAGTTTTCTTGTGCTATCACTTCAATTTTTAAGATAATTTATAGAACTTAAAAATAAGTAATTTTTAGTATTATGTATTTATTACATGTTTTCATGTTGAAATTGCACATTGAAGTCTAAATTGTTCAATTTAAAATAGATTATTAAAAATCAGAATGAGTTTCAAAACATCCAATCCAAAATACATTTTTGGATTAATTTTTTCATAAACACATTGGTAGTTCAAAAAAAAAATGAAAATATATTATGAAAAAAAATTTGCAGAAAGATATTCTAAAAAATGAATTTCATTATACATTTTTAAAATTAATTTTTCAAAAATATATTCTAGATTTGTGGATCCAAAATATATTTCCTGAATATGTAATCCGGTAGTGTATTCTAGACTCACTAATCTAGAATACATTTCCAGAAAATTAATTCTAAAAATATATTTTGAACCCACTTTCCTAACCTGTTATGTGAATTTTTTTATTTCTAAACTGTATTTCCAATCTCATAACGCATTTTGAGGACAAAATGTTGTTGCAGGAGTATTACACATGGTAAAAAAAAAAGTATACATATTGATAATATTTAAATTTTTTTACTTTTTTCTTACAATTCTTAGAATAATAGGAGAAGGAAAAATGAAAATGTTTTAATAGGGTTTAAAAATCATACATTGAAAGGTTTAAAAGTAAAAAAATAAGATAAATATAAAGATAAAATAAGATTTAATTTAATTATAGAGATGTAGAAAGAAAATATAGAAATGTAGGAAGAAAGTGCCTACTTTTTTAGCATTGGAGAGAAAACATGTTGCCCAAAGGCTTGTTGTGGGCTTCTACAACGTTTCCATACAATTTGGTTCCCCATTTATATTCCTTTTATTTATTAAATACTTTTTACATATATAATAACTTAAATAATTTTTTTAACAAAACTCCCTTATTTTGGATCTGTTAGGACGAGATCTCCAAAAGAATTTGTAGGATAAAAAGGGTAAAAAGGTAAAAGAAAAAAATTGACTTCTGAATAAATTAAAATTAATTCATACACAAATTTTAAATAAAAATATCGAGAATTATGCGAGCTTCTAAAAATTACTACAAATTAGTTTATATATAATCTAATTTAAGCATTTGAAAAAGTTACTTATTTTTCTTAAAATTTCTTATAGAGAAATTTATTTAAATAAATTTTAAAACAATTCAATTTTTAAATTTCCTTTTAGTAAATCGCAACAATAATGAAGTGAAATTTAGAGTTTCAGTTATAAAAAACTAGGCAAAATAAGACATATATATAGAAATAAAAACCTACAAACTACTCTAGAAGAGGGTTAGAAGAACATTTTTATTATAATTAAAAAGAAAAGAAAAAAAGAGAGTGAAAAAGAAAATGAGAGAGAGGAATCAACGGAAATATGAAGTAATGATAAAGAGTCGTGAGATGTATGAATGGAATTTGGGAAATGATGAAAATTTTATAAATGGCTAAGGTGGGTCCAAAACATTAGACAAAAATTACGGGGAGCCAAGATATAAATGGAATCAGCACAGTCCACAGGCATGAGAATCATGGCATATTCTTTTGACCAAAATCACCACAACTTAACCAAATCCAAAGATTCTTCGTCAGAATATTACCCTTTTTTTTTACTTATATAATCATGTACAAACCTAATGGATTAATTTTTTTTTTCCTATACAAACACTAAATGTCAAATTAATACTTCATATATATGGTATCAAAATGTATCGTTACTTAATGAATAGAGAGTGCATGCATGGTAAGACACAACACAAGTACGTTGACTCTTTAACTATATCATAGACCTTTGTATATCTGTCTTGCAAGCTAAGCCAGTAAGAAATGTTAACTCAAACAAAACACGATAAAGCTTTCGTTAAATGCAAGACCAGAAACATAGAACATGTTACGTGAGAAAAATAGGAAAAAAAAAGAGAGAGGGAAGAAAGAGAGTTCCGAGAAGCAGCTTTAGTGGTGCCGAAATGCAGTCGAAGTATCACGTGGTCTCAAAAATTGGCGACAAATAGTCTTTAAGTAAGCCATGTCAAGTGCATTCCATGTTCAAATTCCTCCTTTGCTTTTGTCTTTTCTTCCGGAATAATCGTTCTTCATCAACACATAATTTCCTTGACTTTTTTCTTTCTTAGGTTATATATATTTCCCTTCACATTGGGTATGCGTCACACAATGTATGCTTATGAAATATTTTTTCAGAAAAATTGTCAATTAATATCTTACATATTTTAGTTTCCAATAAAAAATAATAGATTTAAATGATATTTTTTATAAGAAAATATGATATTATTTTAATAAAAATTAAAAAATTAAAATATAAGTATTTTTTATTTATAAGTTAATTTTTGACATAAAAATTTACAATTAAGATCTTTCACCTCCTCAGATTGTATTTGACTAAACTGATTATGATATGAATATTATAATTGAATAATTTTGAGGAAGACTACTATAAAAAAAATTATTTATAAAATAAAACTTAATAAAAAAAATATAAGATTAATTTCCATATAAACTTTAAGATATTAGATTAAAAATATTTTTCATTTAATTATTCAACTATTTCCTTTTTATTCAATTTAAGACTCTAACTCCCATTTAAATTCCTAAGACAAATATATTTATATTTTAAAAAATATAATTCTTGGAAATATATAATGATAACGTGAAACAAAATTGTCTTAAATAAGTAGTAATGTGGGCAGCAAAAATATAGGCAATATAATTTACACAATCATGGGGTGATCTTCATTGTGTATTTATTTAAATAAATTCATTGTCCTAATTTGCAAGTATAACAAGTAGTATATTATTATGTGGTTTTCATGTCACCTTTTAAAACAATCATTGCGACTTTGAATTCCATATGACAAACCAGTTAATATGCATCCCATGCCGTAGGACAAGATAGGTAGCTCAGAACTTTAAGAGAAAAAAAATGGGACTAATGGACTAAACCTTAAAATTTTCCCACAAATTTTTCATGAAAAATAATAAAAAGGCAGCATATGCATATGCATATGCATATGCATATAGGATGAAAGAAGTGAGAGATGCTATTAAATTTGAGTTGTGGTGGGTCATGTATATAGTTTATGATCCAAAAATATGGGTATGTAAGGGATATGCTACAGTTTTCAAATGTTCAATAAAGCAATCAAAAGCACATGCTACCCAATTGATTGCATATCATTGTTCTTGCTTTGGAGTCCTTCGTTTGACTAGAGCCGGATTGAAAATTGGATTTCGTATACATGAGGAAATTTTAAATGGAAACAAAAGGGAAAAGAAAAAGTAATGATCTTTTGTGAGTACTTTTCATAATCATGCATGTTTTCTTTCGAAAAGTTGTTAATTTGTTGAATAGGAATAGGAAAGGTGCCTCGTCCCAAACTTTCCAAAGTTCAAAGAAGCTTCTTGCGTATTTCAGTTTGAAACAGAGAAGTTTGCATAACAAACAAAGGTAGTATCTTTGAACTAAGGACGGTGGTTGCTTCATATCATTCAAAAGATAAGGTATTGAGAGCATTAAATCCTTACTCTTTCCAATGTAGGATACAACTACAAGTTAGAGTCATAGAGATCAAGTTTGCTTTTTACCTTGAATAAATGAGGTTTTCTTTGTACCCATATCTTTGAAAAAAGAAACTCTCAAATGCATGCATTTATGTTCTTGTATAGTCTGGTTCGGCTAATCAAACTTTATCATTTCATCTAATGTTATGCCTTTTGTCGACACCAAAATCGGCTAAAAAAACAAAGGGTATTGTTTCTAGTTGTATGTAATACAATTATACCATTTCAAATTCATCAAGTTGCCAAATTGACCAAGGTGGCTCCAAAAAACAAGGCAATTCAGATTATGTTCTCACCTCACTCACACAGGTCGCACTCCTTGAAATCAGGCTTTGGGACTTTACTCATGACTAATGAGTAAAATCACTAACTTCCACTTCAAACCTAGATGGTAATTAATGGTAACAATGCAATAAACTTGTCTCATCAGCGAGGACTGCAAGTAAAATCTATTAGTAACTCAAACAACAAAAATAATAAACAAATCTGTCAAGTTAACAAAGTTGGTTAAAAGCTTCACTATTGCCGAATCAAAGGTACAAAAAAGAGGTTGTCCGTGATTAATTACAAACACCATACAGGCATATCAATTATCAACCCATTTGCAACTGTCCAAAGGTCACTCTGAAGGTCAAAAATCATCAATAAGACAGGAATAATAGAAAATCTGCTAATGTTGACTAATTTTTAAACAAAATAGAACCGTCCAAATTGAACAAGTATGAGTGTAGAATCTCCAACTGATTAACACGTAAAACAGATACAAATTGAGACATAATAGTCCTAAAAATATGGCATCAAAATGGAACTTTATCTAGATTGTCCTAAGCTAAAAGAAAGGGAGTAAGCTTCATTTTCATGCAAGTGATGGGAAGATCGTACTCTGAAGGCTGCATTTGCATGCAAGAAATTAGAAATCATGAATCATGATTGTAGCAGTAATCAATGAGGTCACTATGGCAGAGGCAGAGGTAGGCATAGGCATATAGGGATAGGGTGCCTATAGGTGTGTCCTAGTGGGATGACACGTGTAATGACCCCATTGAATGGAGAATGATTGATCACCCTTAGACAGGGTTCATTACTCACTCTTTACAATGGCACAAGGCATATTGCTGAGCAGAGAGATATGGGCCATGCTATGTGGTTGTGGACCCAATTTTCAAACTAATGAATGCACATTTTGCAGAATTTGTCGTCTTCTTCCACTCTAGATATCACCATTTCATTGCCTCATCCACTGCTACAACATGCCAATCACTCCTTGCCAAACAACTTTCGCACCCCTTATCTTTGTCTAAATATTTTTCAGGAAATTCTAGGGATTTGAGACCCCCTTGTGCTACATTATCACATTCTCTACATTATCTTTTCACTATAAAACCATGTTCACTATGTATTTATTCAATTTCTAATAGCATAATTATCCTTGTATGAGAAGCTTTAGTTAATTGTTTTTCAAATGAATTAATTAATGGTTTAGCAAGAGAACATTAACATTGAGTGGCGTCCAAGCATATGAATCGTGAATTGAGCATTAAACCGTGAGGGAGGGGACAGAAAATGACCCCCATTATACATAAGGATCTCCCCTAAAAAAGATGAAATTGACCTTCATTTTAAAATTTGCATAAACTTTCGGCAGCGATTTTTTCAAATTGTCGCAACAGTTTAAGGATACAGCATGTGTAGAACAAAAAAGGAAAAAACTGGTTTTCCGACCATTTTTTTTTTTACCTTATATTGAAGGAAAGTAAACCCTGTCTTCAAGCATTTAAAGGTGGTGTTTGGATAAAAAGATTGTTCCTTACCGTGTAAGAATTAGCTTATATTATATATATTATCATTCTATTGTTGTCCCTTAGTAATATGTCACTTCCAACAAAAAACGCGTTATCTTTGTTCTGTGACCTATGTTTGAAAATTAGAATGTCCATGACATGAGGCAGAGGTTTCTGGCCACAATTTTAGTTAGAATATGACAGTTTTAGTAGTTATATCATTTTTCATCTATGTCCTATTATTTGGATTATTCTATCATAACATAATCGTCATGGGACAGTTACACATGCAAATTTTCCAAACTATATACAACATTTTTATGCAACTTTTATATAACAAAATAAACTCAACTATGGAATAAAATTGTTTAATTCAGTGGATATTGAAAAAATTCAACACAAATATTTCTGGAGGAAATAAATAAAAATATATGTAGATAACATAAGCAATATTTTAAACTTTGAATTGTAAAATGAAAAAAAAATATTTGTAAATATTTATTAAAATGCACACCATTAGAGATTAACACATAATTATAGGTGTAATTAATTATGAATTAGCTAAATAACTAGGTAGTAGAATGATGTTGTTCTTTCTCCTTCCAAACTAGTGTGTTCAATAATTACTTTTTACTAGACCTCATATTAATAACCCTTTTTTTTTGTTCAGACACAATCTTCAAACCTAATAATACAGCGTTAGAATTAGAAATCTCATTATATATAGAACAACATAACATTAGATTATTAAACTAATTAATGGGATTTATATTACACCACTCGACTTTTCTTCATGTGTCTTTGAAGTTAAAGAAAAGTAACGAAAAGACTCAATTATGATAATGGAAAAAAAGAAACTAACAGACCAAATTAATTAACTTTAGAAATTATTAACACATCATGATTACAATCACTTTATCACTAACTATAGTTGAGAGACTAACACTATAATTAAGAGAAAAAGTTAAAAACAGTAAAAGCGAGCTTAAATGGTGAAATTGAATTTGTCCAACAGTGGTATGAGTGGATAGTTAGTTATTGAATGAATGCATAAACACTCAAACTTAAACACAAAGACTGAATGAAAACTCTACTATGATTCAGCCACATGAAGCCCTTTTCACATCGCAACAACAATGGACAAGTTGAGTAATTAGGCTTCAAAAGTGAGACTGAGAAGCAACACAAAAACTACTTTTGGAAAAACATTACCCACATCCCATCACGTTCCTACCCAGTTTTTGCCTCACTTTGAAACATAACGCTCCTGCTTATTGGTTACGAACAAGGTCAAAAAGCACCAATTTTAACAAGACCCATCATTTTTGTTACCAATTTGGATCAAGACTTTTGAGCCTTATGCTACCTTTACATTGCCACACCCCAGACGAGAGGGACCTTCCCTCGGCTTCATCAGTTCCACCTTTACGAGACCAACAAACAATTAATTATAATTAAAAAGAAAACTCAAGAACCAAAGGTTGACGAGAATCTGAAAAAGGGTGTTTATCAATCTCTCTCACCACCAATCCCCATAATTTAAAAAAAATGCATATAGAATCTTCAAACATAGATATTTAATAATATTTAAAAGTAATTCATCACTGCCATTTAATCATTTTAGATTTATAAGAACACAATAATATAATTAACTTGAACTGAATTAAAATAATTAATTTGTATGATTTGTTTGGTTCAAGTTTTAAAATTATAAACTTTATAGCATATTTTGCAACAACCCCACTCATAGCGGTTACATATGATTTATATTATCATTTCCCATTCATAAACATTTACTTCAATTTTTGAGTTAAAGGTTTACTCCACACACACTATGCTTCAAGGAAGAAGGCAAAGAAAGGAAAGTTGTGAAATGGAAGTAAACATTATGATGATGATGGGTTGGGTGGAACCAGGAAACGTCGCATCTTGTTTGTGGTGGCGAAAACAGAAAATCCCTACACGCAAGTGTTGTGGTGAGGTTGGATAATGTTGCAACGTTTAGTTAAGTAATTGGGAGAAATTAAAGAAAAAGATAATAGTGGGTAACAGTAGATAGGAAGAAGAAGAAAGAGTGTAGAGAGCGGGGCCAAGTGTCAGAGCCATGGGCATTTCAATTTGCAAAGCATGGAGGAAAGTGAACCACAGCACCGCAATGTCACAGCACAGGTTTTAACGACTCTGAATCTCACCAGGCATTAACTTCCCTGGTGCTCCCTGTCTCATTCAACTCTCATCATTATGCATCATTGCAAGCTTTACAACTTTTTTGTTGTTGTGTTTTCCAATAAATACTAACACAAAAAAATTATATAGTAAATGCATTTATATTATAAATGTTTCTATTCACTTATAAACTTATAATATGAGATCGTAAGTCTCAATAATCTAAACAGTAATATATGCATCGAGAAGAGGTTGCACATGCAATTGCAAGTGTGAACTGGCTTGAATTCTTCAAGCTATTGTCCGAGAGTTTATGATAAAAATTAGTAATTATAAGTTTAACTTGGTCGTAAAATTTGAAGAAATGGTATTTGGTGCAAGACACTAAGTCCATTTTGTGGCTAAACTTGCTCCTTCTTGTTGTGAACCAAGTTCATTATTGGCCATCAACACCATTTTCATGATTTCTTCCAAGAATATTAATTGTCACACATAATAGTCTAGGATGCAAGAGCGATTCCAGGACTATCGACTGTGTTGATCAAAGACATGGACTGTTTTTCTTGCTTTTAGTTATTATTATTTTTCATTCGTATTAGCAGAAATTACTTGGTAGAGCACAAACCTATGATTATTTTAAATGATGATAGTTCCTCGATACTTGAAAATGACACCAACATAAATAGAGTATCTCCTTGAGAAAGAAAAAGTTTGGGTGCGAGATAACGACAAAAGTATAGGACTTACAACACATAATATATCGATGTTTTTTTTTAACCTTAACCATTCATGATTTAGTTCAGTTTAATATAAAATTTGAAGCAAATTAAATTAAAATTAGAAGAAATTCGTTTTACAGTTCTTATTATTATAAAATTATGAAACAATTTTAAAAATATATAAATCATTTTCTTCAATTTTTTTTGTTAAACATCTTATAATAAAAAATAGAAATATATTATCAAAAAAATTATATGATTATTATCATATTCATATTCTTAATTTGTCGTATAGATAATTTTATTTCTAAATTAATATTATATTTTTAGTATATATATATATATATGTGTGTATATTATAAATAAGATATAATAAAATTATAAAATAATCTTAAAAAATTATAATTATATATATATATATATTTATTAGTTAATACATAATTTTAAATATATAAGATTATATTTAAATATATAATATTATATTTAAATATAATAAATAATTTGATTTGATTTTAATTATTAACCTAAAATATGATTAAACGGTGCGATTTTAGAAAAGAATGGATAGAAAAAAAAATTAAATGATTTTATTATCAATATTTTTTTCTGGTTTGAAACCTAAGTCTATATGAACAATATAAATAATAAGATGTGTATAGCATCTTACAATTTCATTATAATTTTGTAACACTTTTGTTAAGGTATTAGTATAGATGGTTTCTTTGATATTATATTTTGAACCACGTATTTATTGTACGTCTCTTATTTATTTATTTATATAACTTTTAAAACTTCTGATTTTGTTAATTAAAAAAAAAAAACAAAGTGTATAGAAAGTGTTGTTTAAAAAAATTATAATAATAAATAAATTTAAATAAATTGGTCTAGATAATAATTATTATTATTAAACTGATAAAAGAAATTTACTTGTAAATATCCTCTAATACTTAAATCAATAAAATAAATAATAATAATAATAATAATATTATTAATAAAATATCTAAATGAGAAACAGATTATTTATAAATGAAGTGATTTTATTTATAAGTTTTTTAATAAAATATTTTAAATAATAAATTATATCTAATAACTAAATAATTAAATAAATAAATTATATATTATTATCAACAATTTTCCGAAATTCTTGATTTTATAAATCTTTGTAATATAATATGCATTTAAAAAAATTCATAATAGAATTCAGAAGCCAATATATAGAAAACTAGTTTAACTCGTTTTTGGATTTAAAACTATTGTGAATTTATCTTTCATCTTAACAACTGATTATTAAATAAAAAAACATATAAGATAAAATATATCAATTAAAAATATAATAACATTATAATATTATAATATAATTTTAATATAGGTTTCTAATAATAATTTTATTTTTAGATTATACATTCAAGACCTAAACATATATCTTTTCAACTATATAAGGAGAAACCTTATATCAAATAATATATTGATTACACATATTTTAGTCTAAACCACTAAAAAAATGTTATTTTTCTCATCCCACTAAATTATTACTCATATCTATTCATATATTGAGGAACATATGTATAGGTAGGTATAAAGCCTTTGACTACTCACACGTATCAATAAAAGTTAAAACAATAAATATATTCATGATGAGAGAAATTAAAAAACATTAAAATTAATAAAAAATTATATCTCATTAATATTAAATAGTATTTCTGAAAAACACCCACACGTTAAATATAAATTTAATGTTACTAATTTAATTAATTTTTGTTTAAAATATAGTCAAACTTTAAATATAAATATACTCGAATCTTTATTCACTGTGATACAATATTGCATCATTACATACCTCTACTTTTTCTTGACACAAATTTTATATCTATGCAAGAATCATTTCCCTAATTGGTAAACTTTTAGTCCTACCTGAACAGAAGAGCTTGCAGAGACCAAAAACCTAAAAACTTGCGTAGCTGGAGGGATTTCAGAAAATTCCAAGTATATATATGCATTGAATTCCTCTCCACCTACCATAACCAAACTAAGTCCAGTGTGACAGTTCCAAACATGAATAGTTTTTATTTTATGAGGTTGAGGTGAAGCACATTTCTATACCAGTATCATGATACTACTAAGTAAGACAAGTAGTAAACTCACTAACACACAAAACTATGTTGTAACACGCGTGCGAGCTCATAAATTTTTATACTTAAGCTCAATTCCCCATTAAGAGAGTGATTATGAGTTTATAAGATCTAAACATAGGGGAAGACAATGAAATGAACAAAACAGAGGTGTCAATAAAGCTAAACCACAACAGCCAAAAAAACTATTTGGGGATTGGAACTCGAACTAATATAATAACCTATGCTTAAAGGCATGAGTTCAGTTCTAATAATCCTGGTAAATCAGATATAAACAAAATGTCAACAATCAATCAGAGGGTCCATCAATTCAGATAGACTAACGAAGCCTGTCACATGACAAATCATTATTTCAAAATGCTCAAAACTTTCACAAATACTTCTTCAATTTCACTTTCCCTCATCCACCTTCACCTTCACTTTCTCCCTTTTTCTGTTGTATCTTTCAAGGTTTAATGTTTTAAGGCAGACTAATGCATGGAGTTGATTAAGACTAGTCATAAAAAAGTGTTTATGCAGATCCTATTTGCATTTATACATTCAATTGAAACTAACTCTTCAATTCAAGGTTACTTCATTAGAACAATAAGTAGATCCTATCCAACTAGGTCTATGGGAGTTTGGAGAGTTTAGGTTTAGAAAGTAGAGAAGATAACATGCAATGAGTATGGGGTTGGGGTTGGGGACAATATGGTTGAAGAATTGAGGGAGTAGGGATATGGGGGAATGGAAAGGAGCGTGTGAAGTGAAAATCAAATGTTTCCTTTACGTACAACAAGAGTGTCGACTAAGGGAAAGTGAAGGTGAAGGTGGAGAGGATACATATTAGACACTACTACCCACTATGTTTTTTTTCTCAATCATCAATGCACAATGGGAGCACAATCTACACTAACCTTTACTATCACCCATAACTCTTTGCTCAGTATAAATAAATCTTCTACGCAGAAGAAATAAGAAAATCTGTCTGGAGTGCCCATTATTCGTGACAATTAATTAATTGTGGCAACCTCATCACGTTTTATATTCATGACAAACTCAACTTTTTTATTCATAAAAAAATGGTTTTCCTTAATTTGATAATGAAAGGCATAAGGGTAATAAGATTGGTATGCCATTTTTTCATTGTGGCCTTGTAGGGGTAAAGCAAAGACAGTGAGTTCCCACTATGCTTTTCTTTGCCAGGGAAGAATTATTAATTGTGTTAAAGTGTTTTTGGTGGTTAGGAAGAGGGTTTGCTCTCATTAGTTAAGCAAGCGTTGTTATTTTGGTTGGTTGAAAAGTTATGGAGGAATCACTTTCTTGGTTGATGCAGTCCCCTTCTAGATAACACCCAGTTAAATGATTTCAACACTTTTGGGTAAGGACTATACCATTGCAAAACATAACAAGTGTCAGGGGTGGGAGGGGAAACAAAATGGCAATGTTGGTCATAGTCATAATTGACACTAATAAGACTCGTGACTGGCCATGACATCTTGTTTTCTTGGATAAGCCTTGCTTCTTCTCTAGGTTCACATCACAGGCCTGAAAACTCACACCACCCCCATGATCAAATTTCAGGTGGTGGAATTCAATGATTCTCATGAATCCTAAAAAAAGAAGAAATGATTTAAGAAAGAGATAAGGGCAACATGCGATTGTGTCCTTGGTGAATTAGACCTTAGATTGCCATCTCCACTTCTTCTAGACTTGGAACCACATAGGTATGGTCCTCCTCATAAAAATTCACGTCAAAATCCAACACTTGTCCTTTTTGGCACAACGTACTTTCCACTACAACCTCTCTTCTGCTAACTAATGGCTGTCACCGAAGCATATTTGAAGTTTTTTGTTCATGTAAAAATGAGAAAATCAGTAGACAGAGAATTTTGAAGAAGTAATTATTTCATTTACGTAAACAAGAATAACAATTCACAATTCCCTTATGCTATTTCTATTTTCTAAGTGAAATTGTGAGGAAGGAACATAATACAAAGAAACAAAGAAAAAAAATGACATGGTGAAAAAATATATATTTTTTTATTTAGCTAAATAGGAAAGAAATTAAAAAATGTGTAACGGTATTTTTATGTCAATAAAAAATAAATTTAACCCCAATAAAAAATTACTTCTTTTGTATTAACAACATTAAAGTAATTGTTGTTTTTATGTTATAAATAAATTAAAACATAAACAGCCCATACTGTTTCATCCCAATCTAGGAGAAAGGAGTTTTATTTATTTTTTAATCCCACAAAGTTTTACCTTAAAAAACAAATAATATATCAGAATAAAAAGAAGTCAACAAAATTATCATTCTTCTGAACAAAATGTGAGAGAATATTTTATCAACTTATTATTTTTATTTAAATGTAACCAATTTCATGAAAAGAAAAATACAACAACAAAATAAATATTATTAATAATATTTTTTTCTTCATATCCTATACTCTCTCATCTCCTTTTTCATGTTATACTTATCTAATCTTCCTCTATAAATGTTCCCCTAAATTGAACAAAATAAAAAGGTACAATACTATTTATCATGACACAAACAGAAAAAAAAAGTTTAATTTTTAATACATAATCAATGCAAATAATTTACTCTTTCAACCAATTATAAACAATCTCAAATATACCATTTAAAAATTAGTAACATTATATATCATACTTGATAATCCATAATCAAAGATAATAAAAAAATTATATTTTTGAAAAAAGTCATATTTAAATTTATTTTATGTCACTTCATGAAATGGAGAAAAGTACAGTTCCATTCTTGAACAAACAAGCATTAACAATGAAAAAATTACTGTGTATTCTTACTACAAGTAAAGAAAAATCTCAACCATTATGGAGAGAGTAGTCAAGTCATTTTATATCTTCATGTTTAAATGAAAAATTCTAATATGACATTATTTTATTTGAATTTTGTATGTATTATTAGGGTGCAATGTTGATACATCACGAACATCTATATAAATATTTTTATACCATTAAATAATTTGAAATCATCTTATTTTTTATGCATAATTATTTTAAATACTGTTTAATCCTATTAGAAAACAATTATATTTATATATATAAATGATTAATATTAAAAGTTGTATAAATATAAAATTTATCAAATACTGTTTTTCACTTAACCATATCTTAACTATTTTAATGACTTAATTAGAATTCTCTCTCTGTCTATATATAAAAGTGATATTTATTTAAAAATCTCTTTCTAGCTTTTTTTTTGTTTCTCATGAAAAATCAATTTAACATGTCAAAATATTTTTTATATGATTGATTCAACTCAGTGGATATTACTATCAAGTCCTTCTGTATGTAATACATGCTATATTACTAGTTATAAATGTTAACTTATTTTAGAAAATCATCAACATATAATAATAAAAAAAGAAATCAACGTATAAAAATATTACATTTTGGAGGATATCATATTTTATATATAAAGTATTTTAATTGTCCAGATAAATATTTGACACTGTGTATTTGAATTTTCGATCTATTGATTATTATTTCCTGCTATAAATAAATAAAATACAAATTGGTATAAAGAATTATATATATATTTTTTTATATTGTAGAAAAATAGTTACTATTTCTGTGGATACTATTTAGGAAGTAAAGCACAAATAGAGAGTTAGGAGTGCGCGCGTGCCAACTGCTAAGGCGATCACGTGCGAAGACCGACGTGATTTTTATATAAAGGCATGAGACTTGTAAGAGTGGTAACCAAGCATAGAGCCTTCTCCTCTCTATTCTATTCTCTTCTCTGAGAGTGTGATTTTGTTGTTGTGGTTACTGCTTCAGTGACACTTGCACTTGTTTGTGACAAGTTGAAACAGAGGAAGATAGTGTTAGGAACAGAATTTGGATAGTGTTTCACAGAGGTTACAAAATCTGTGTCTGACTGTGAGAGTTAATACATAACTAACTATCTTCCTTACAACTAACAATGGAGACACGAGGTGAGATTACGCATTCAAAGTTCAATAGGATTTGTGTGTTCTGTGGAAGTAGCCCCGGCAAGAAGAGTAGTTATCAAGACGCTGCCATTGAGCTTGGCAATGAATTGGTATGCTGTTTATTCATGTCTTCATTTTTTCCCTACGTTATGCTTTGGTTTTGTTTACCTCAAAATCTTCAAAACCTGTTCTTTTCTTTATTTTTCTTATGGGGTGTTACATATTTTGCCTCATTGTGAACTTCGTTATGTGTAAGGTCACTTTGTTTATAACATTTTCATTTGGGTAAGGTTACTGATTCCCTTGGAACCTTAACTCGTGTCTTGGTTATGTTTGCAATGTAAACTATGATGTCGCTTCATCACAGACAGCAACCTCAGAAACATTCTCAAACTGTTAAACTTTGCGTCGTGTATTTTGTTTAGAGCTTGAATCCTCCATTTTTTTTTCATTTTGCCTCTTGAGCTTTCGGTTCAGTGGCTCTGAGCTGAACACTGTACGGCTTATCAAGTGCCCTCTGCTGAGTGAGTGAGCGTTGAGGAATTTTTTTCTCTTTTAGTCGCAGTCTTACATTTTCAAACAGCGAATAATGTACTCTCATGGGATTGTTTTCTATAGGGTCATTCATTACTTTTGTTTTTTGAGATCATACACAATCATAGCCACCACTATTATTGTTTACTATTTCTAGGGTGATTAATATTATTTTGAATGATGTTGTAAGGTCTCAAGGAACATCGATCTGGTGTATGGTGGGGGAAGCATTGGTCTAATGGGTTTAGTTTCTCAAGCTGTTCATGATGGCGGTCGCCATGTCATTGGGTAAGTAACATACACACTCTTTTCCTTATCGTTCTACCCTTTTTTTTTCCTTTTTTATTTCCCTTTCTCTTTTTTCCCACAAAGTTGTTGGGTAAAAGCCAAGAACAAGAACTCATAGTCAATGAATAACCACTGTGCTTTTGTTGGTCACTTTCACCATTGATGCTATATTTGTCATGTAATTGTCTCTTGCAGGGTTATTCCCAAGACGCTCATGCCTCGAGAGGTATGTATATCTGCTTCACCCAGTAAAAAGAGCTTAGCCCCTTTCATGCTTTTAAACTTTAAAGAAGTCCTACTTGTGTTTTTATTTTTATTTAATTTGTTTCTCAACTTTATCAAGGACTATACTCATGCATTCTATCGCAACCTTCATGAGCGTGTTGTCAATTTTAAAAATGAAAACTTAGCTATTTTGCAGTTTGTTTTTAATAAATTGTGTAATCTTTCTACCAATGCTTGTCTCACAGTCTTGTTCACTAATACTCCACTGTAATAAGTTATAGAAATAGGTTAAATATATCAGATTATCATTCCTTTCCTGCAACTTTCATCATTACTAAGTGCTCTTTCTTTGGATTCCTTTGTTTTGATTCTCCTTTGCAGCTAACTGGTGAAACGGTGGGAGAAGTAAAAGCTGTTGCTGATATGCACCAAAGGAAAGCAGAGATGGCCAAACATTCAGACGCCTTTATTGCCTTACCAGGTTAGACTGCGAATATGCTTGTTTGCACATCAGAATCAGAAATAAACTAACAAAAGAAGGAAAAGTTTGTAACCATTATGTGCTTCATTCACTTTAGTAATGTTATATCTTGTTAATGTTGTATAAAGAAGTACTAGATAAAATGTCTATATATTTGAGATATTCAAGTTTTTTATATTTATACGGTGACTAAAAGAATTGAGAAATTATGTTGGAGGAGAATATTAAATTATTTTTGTGGTTACAGTATTTAGCAATAACCATATCACTGTGTGATTCTTTCGAGGCTAGTTAACCGACATGTTTCCCGTTGATTTCTCGGTGTTACTCCTACTTGTGTTGCTTTTCAGCAAAATGGTTTTGTCTACAAAAATTTACAAACTTTTTAAACTGACACTGGCTTTGGTGTTTTTCTTTGCTAAACCTTTTTGGCTAAACAATTTTAAAGTGCTTACCACGCCTAATTATGGATGCTACTCGACAAGGCGTTAAAAACTTATGTGATGATTTGGAAGGCACGACACGTTATGGATAATGTTTACAAGTTGTCCACTTATTTAGTAAACATTGAGGCATGGGGGATACGGCAGGAGTATAGTAATTTTAAAAGTGTCTCAAACCAAACCATCTTTTGTGCCTCTTTTATTCAATTCAATTGACACTGCTGCAGAACCAACTTTCATGGCACATCCCAATGCTATGATTAGCGAGAGCAACCCTTCAAAGCTAGCTGAAAATGATGTTGACCTTTCATGAGCCCTTAATATATCTTGGACTATAAAATAGAGCTTCTGCGGCTCTGAGCCACTGTGGTTATGGTTCAGGTTGAATATATACACCATTTTCCCCCTCAACTTTGGTTTGGACCGTGACGTGATTCTACCAACTTCCCTTATTTGATCAAGAGGGAGAGTAAAGCAAGAGAACTTTCACGAGATAACGTTTCCAACTAGCACCTGCACCTGACACGGAATAATGCTTGACCCTTTTCTGAGACTTTTTTAACTGGTCGTTTTTATCATCCTCAGTGAATAATTGAATGCTGAAAATTAGTGACAGAGAGAGAGAGAGAAAGAGGAGGCTCTCAAAGGCAAAGTTTTCATTCACTCTATCTTGGGATATCCCTCGTACGAAAGTTGATTCCCCAGGAGGGTCAATACATGATCTGTAATGAATTCTCCCTTGACACTGCCAAATTCATGATTCTGTTTGAACAAGAAGTTGGTAGTACTAAATGCTGGAGTCTACAGGCACCCAACATGGAGTAGTTAATCTTGGACATGGGCATTCATAGATACAACAGTCAAACCAAAAAACAAAAAATAGTTAAAATTTTATTTCAAATTATTTAATTAAATTTCAATTTCCCTCTTCAATTAAACCTGTTTCATTTGACTTTGTTTTTCTTATTTCCATTATATATTTGTGCCTTCAATTCTTGAAGAAACTCATGCAAGTCACATGCAGGAGGGTATGGGACTCTAGAGGAGCTTCTTGAAGTGATAACCTGGGCACAACTTGGGATTCATGACAAGCCGGTAATCGACTTTTTCATCATGGGAATTTATGCAAATCAATATTTCACGTTCCTTGAGTTGTCTGGTGCTTGAAGCCTAATCAGATTATACATTCCGAAAATTGTAGGTGGGATTAGTAAATGTTGATGGATACTTTAATTCCTTGCTGTCATTTATTGACAAAGCGGTGGAAGAGGGATTTATCAGTCCAAATGCTCGCCACATAATTGTATCAGCACCAACAGCAAAGGAGTTGGTGAAGAAATTGGAGGTAATATGTCCTTTTGTAAATCTATATTTGCATCTTGTTTAAAATAAAACAGATGTTGGCTATTACCCTTTTGATCAACCTTGTATTCATTTGAAAAGTCTAGTGAGGCTTTATGGCATTACACAACCCCTTTTCAATTTGATTCTCACAATTTGAAGCAACTGTCTTATATAAAACCACTTTCTCTGATTTCATTAGTAAAGTCACATCAAAACAAAAGTTTCTCTGGTTTCATACTGTATATATAAATGGGTAAATCAAAGATTTGTAGACGCACAAAACAAAACTTTTATTGGATGTCCGAGGATATGCACATTTATGTCATCAAGCTTATCCAATCAATTGTATACGTAATCAAATTTACCTGTGCAAAACTATGCAGTTCAGTAATATGAAAGAAGAAAGTGAAATATTTGTGTGTTTTAATTCACAGGATTACGTTCCCTGTCATGAGGGTGTTGCTTCAAAGTTGAGCTGGCAGATAGAACAGCAGCTTGCATACCCCCAAGATTATGACATGTCAAGGTAGTTAGATGACTTCACGTGCACGGAAGATGAGGCCATATAGAATTTTGAAGCTGGAAGAAGTTATATTTTCTGTCGCTACTCTGTTTTTATCCTTTTATTTTCTTGTGTAAATTACCAGGATTGACCTTAATATGTGATACTACTTTATTAGTTATTATTATCACCTTGTGAAGCTTTGATTTTCTTGAAGTTGTAAGTACCTGCTCCTGAACTTACTATTATTTCTCAATGCCCATTAATTTTTACGTTTGACTGGCCAAAAGAACAAAATTTCCATATACAGTACTTATTCCTTTGGCAGTTATTGTTCTTAATTTGAAAGTTTGTTGTAATTTGAATGAAAGGAGAGGCATACTCCAGCAGTTTAGAATATATTTTCAAGAGATGATTGAACCAATTAACTAAGAAATAAACAAAGAACACAGTCCACGACTTGATGGGAGGTAGTGACAGAACTATGGTCCGACTTAAATGTTGGCAAGTGTTAATAATTAAGAATGGGACCAAAAATGAGACAGAAGTGTTGCTGGCCTGTCTTGAAGTAACTGGATTTTGAGTTCAAGAGGACTAGGAGAGTGACAGAACTAAAGACAACAAACAAGAGACTAACTCACTCGACCAGCACAAGCAGTACTGGGTGACCGGGGCCAATTCTTGGGTGGAAGTGCAATGGAAAGAAAGGGTTGCATTCCTCAAATCAGTTGGAGCAAGAGAGTGAGGTTTGTAGGACCCTTTAACCCCCCAGCAAATGGGACAGTGCCATGTGTTGGCAGGGGCAACATGGGATTCAAAGGAAAAGTTAAAGGGGTCATGTGGCACATGCATCTGAAGACAACATGATGGCCACCTTTGGTCCCCGGTCTCATCTAACAATTGCCAGTGGTTGAAAGAACTGCTTTGTACATTTGGGGCTATTGGCTCAGAGATATCTCCGGAAGCTTTGAGTGGTTGTGTTGTAGTAGTCATGACTTCTCATGTATTTTCCTTTGAAATGATGTTAAAAGTTGTAACATGCCATTGTAACATAACACCTTTGATTCCTTCACATCTTCTTATGTTGTTATTACTTGAACTGTCCTTAGAATATAATCTTGTTTCTTGAGAGTAACATCAAGGATTCAATTCACAAGTTCGTATATATGAAAAAATATATATCAGTCTCTTGTATGAATTTTTATTTTGACTTGAGAAAAGATACCTCCAATATGCAACAGAAGAAAAAGGGGAGGAGTTGACAGAATAATGAATCAAAGAAATTCCTATCATAAGGCCTACTCTTCCCTCTTTGAACATTCAAGACCAAAATGTTTGAAAATGAAGGAAGAAACCAATGTAATGATAGATGGGGGAAAAAGTAATATGGTAGTACATGTGGACTTGGAAAGCTCTTCAACTTTAACCAAAGAGTAAAACAGGGAGGATAGGGTCATGGAAAAGCTCCTTTCTTTGTATCAGTCAACTTGTTTAAATTAAAGAGCTAATCTTGGGTATTGACTATAATATACACAGTTGACTGTGCATTATGTAGTGCTAGTTCTGGCAAGCATCTACGTCTAGGACCACTACCTTGTGAAAGCACCTTCCAAGGAATATTTTATTGTTATGTTTGGTAACATGGTTTGTATATTATGGTTCAACGTTTGTTTTCAGTTTTCTCAAGTTAAAAGGACATAAATTTCGGTTCTAACCATTGACAACAATTTCTTTCTTTTTTTTTTGGACAACTTTTGACAACATTTCTTAAACCGTGTCTGTTGGATAAGGAAAATTTGATATCAAACGATTTCATTGCTTCACCATATACAGAAATTTACCCATGTATGTCCAAATATATTAGTCTAAATTATCTCCTCCTTTTTCTGTCCTTTTCTTTTAACCGACAATGGCCCTTTTTTTTGTATTCAATATAAAAGATAGTATATGTTATTAAGAGTGTCTTAATCATGCTCTTCATAATATTTATACTCAAAATTGGTCCCCTATGTGAAGACCAAGTTTAATGACATTAATTACACCAAATGCCTTGACACTTTTTCTAAAAACTTTCATATGAAGCTCTTAAATTTATCATGATCCTATTATTGGGTGTTTTTTTTTCTTTTTCAAAATAATCAACTTTTAAGGCCAATACATACAACAATGTCAAAACAACTTCAGAGCTAAACAAATTTTCTTCTCTAACTCTAACTCTAACCCTGAAAAATAAGAGAAATCAGCACAAATAGTTGGAGTATTATTATTATTATTATTATTCCAATATCAATAAATCGAGGGAGATAATTTATAACAATAGTTGGTGCATTTAAAAGTAATTATTTTACTTATGTTGAATGATTTATGTTAATATTTTTATTTAGTGTCATAAAAATATTTGTTAATATTTAAAAAAGAGAAAGAAAAAGTTATGAACCTCCTGTTCTATTACATAAATAAAAAATCACGTTCAAAGAATGGTTCAAATAATATTAAATAAAGTTGAACTTAGCATGAACTTTTGGTCTTAAAAAGTTGGAACTCATTCAAAAACATTTCTAACAGAGAATAACTTCAATATCCCAACCAAATCAAAGTAATGTTAAAAAAACCATCTCATATAAAATAAATCAAAGACATAGAGGAAATTAAAATATATGTAGCTCATTTTTGGGGCACACGTAAATCTTGACATGTTTAACCATTTCCAACGCCAAAGAAAAAGACTTTATCATAATAAAATATACAATAATATTAATAATACAATTTTCCACACAATTTTTCTTAATATATATTATCATATTGACTGAAGATTATTGAAATATAAAATATCATCAAAAATATTTATTAAATACAAAATAGGGTCATAAAATTTGTAATTTTAATCAATTTCAACCATAATAGATATTTAGTAGAATTATACTCCCTCAAATATTTTTATAATAATTAAATTAGAGGTTTTACTTAATATAAAATAAGCAATATAAATTATATCGTGCATTTATTTATTTTTCGCAAAAATACGCTTAATTATGAGTTGTTTCTCCAAGTTTAATATATAATTGGTAAAATATACCTATGTCTTAATTACCAACATTATGTTAGGAACTTGGATAGTTAATAATGCTACTAACTAAATTAATTACCAACATCATGTTAGTATTAGAAACTTGGTTGGGATATTAGTATTTTCAAAAGTCATGCCCATCTAATTAAAAATAAAGAAACGAAAAAAAAAACAAAGACTTAGAAAGTATGTTTACAATCCTTGTCAATCTTGCAAAAGTTCATTGGGCTGACAAAAACTATATGTTCATTGAGTCTGTACATACTGGACCATAAAAAAAATGAAACTATTGGGCCCTCTTTTGAGAAATGAGTTGAACACTTTAGTTTTTGGGCTTTCTAATGGGCCACACCTACCTAGAAGCACTCTCTGAAGTGGTTATTGTAGTTTAGCTCTAGTATAAGAAAAAGAAAAAAAAAAAATATTACAACATATTCGAGGGTTTTGACTTGTGATTTTCCTTGCAACTCATTGTCGTGTCGGGGGAATCTTTCATCAATACACTGCTATGGCAGGCTCTCACCTTCTTTCTCAATCTCATTCCCTTCCCAAAACCTATAACCAAAACCCTTTATCTCAAAAGCTACTTCTACCTCTCAAATTCAAAGCCACCCTCAAACCGCGTGCTCTTAGAGCGGTTCTCTCCCAGAACGCAGCTCAAACCGCGGTAGAGGACTCAAAGGTTTCTTTTAAGCACTGTTTCACTAAATCCGAAGATGGGTATCTGTACTGTGAGGGCCTCAAGGTGCATGACATCATGGAATCTGTTGAGAAAAGGCCTTTCTATCTTTACAGTAGGCCCCAGATAACTAGGAATGTTGAAGCCTATAAGGATGCATTGGAAGGGTTAAACTCTATAATTGGTTATGCCATTAAGGCCAACAATAACTTGAAGATTCTGGAACATTTGAGACACTTGGGCTGTGGAGCTGTGCTTGTTAGTGGGAATGAGCTTAGATTGGCCCTTCGTGCCGGGTTTGATCCCACAAGGTTCAATCATACTCAACAACCCATTATTGTGTTTTTTTTTTTCCACCCACATCGCATATTGTTTGGCATTTTTGTATTTTGTTCTGTTAAGAGTTCACGCGATTCTTAGTTTATTTCTGGGTTGGATTGATAGGTGTATCTTTAATGGGAATGGTAAAATCTTGGAGGACTTGGTCTTGGCTGCCCAGGCAGGTGTGTTTGTCAACATTGATAGTGAGTTTGACCTGGAAAACATCGTAGAGGCTGCAAAGAGGGCTGGAAAGAAGGTCAATGTTTTACTTCGGATTAATCCTGATGTAGATCCACAGGTACGTTGTTGTCCAAGTTTTTCCTAGTTGATAGTAGCAATGTTTGATTCATGCATCTTGAAGGATTTGGCAATTTTTGCAGATTAGGTGTTATTTTGTATTGATTATTGATAGGCAACTGAAGATGAACAGATCGAAAGATGCTTCCATTTAAAAGAATAAATGATTAATTCTTTAAACAATGTTCTCAAGCAATTACGTGTTTCATTCATATGATATCTTCCTTTGGATGATATGATAAAATCCCCCATTTCATCAGTTATAGTAGTTCCCTTCACTCCTCTGCATTATTTTCTGTATTAGTTGTGATTGACTGGTTAATGCACAAGTTGTGATCGACTGATTAGTGCTCAACTCACCATTGGGCAGACCTGGGACCTCAGATTTTTAGCTCTCATCTGCATCTTGTTTATTATTTGAAAATATTTAAACTTCAAACTTTGTTATTCTTAGGTCCATCCTTATGTTGCCACTGGAAACAAGAACTCTAAATTTGGCATTAGAAACGAGAAGCTGCAATGGTTCTTAGATGCAGTGAAGGAGCATTCTAATGAGCTCAAACTTGTAGGGGCCCACTGCCATCTTGGTTCAACAATTACCAAGGTAAGATGGTAATTATATTTTTTTTGCTGACTGTTTTTTTTTTTTTTTTTTGCTTTGCTATGTTAATATGTACTTTTTTTTATTTATGTTTTTGTCCTTTGTTTGTGTTCAACGTTCTTGCTTAGGTCAATTTCAAGTTTTGCACTACTTTATGTTGATTCTTAATCTTTATCTAAATATAGCTGTTTTGTTTTTATGCTCTTTTAGGTGGACATTTTCAGGGATGCAGCCACCATTATGATCAACTACATTGATCAAATTCGAGCTCAGGGTTTTGAAGTTGATTATTTAAATATTGGAGGAGGACTTGGGATAGATTATTATCATTCTGGTGCTATCCTTCCTTCACCTAGAGATCTCATTGACACTGTGAGGACTCTGCCCATATATATCATTTCATCTTTACATTTTATATGTTACTAAGTATTCAATTACTTACAAGCATAACGAACATCATTAATTAGCTGTTACTGATACACGGGTGCTCTTTATATTGCAATGTTGTACAATTAAAGTGTAGCATTTACCATTTTTAAAGAGTGACATGCACATAAACGTGATAAATAAGTCTCTAAAGAAGCAGCAGTACAGTTTTTTATTAATTACACAAATATATGTTTTATTACAGTATTTGAGGAACTAGATCAATGTCACCTTTGAGATTTGTTTGCTATTTATAGTTGTTGAAAGATGCTATAGTACAAAGGACCAAAATATCTTATCAATTACTAGAGTTCAGCTGTCAATTGTGATGCGAAGTTCTTGGCAGTTATCTTGTTTTATTGAGATGGAAACTTTCAAGCATATTGAATTTCTATAGCAGTAACTATTGGACATTTTGCATGTGGCAATGCTGGAGGTCCTTGATGAGCACAAGTTATGTGCGATAACTGTTAGATAAGCATTTCATTTTAAAATTGTTGATTTCATGATATCTCTTGTATTTGCTGAGATTGGCCTTGGAAGAAGCCCATTGGGAGCCAAGATATTTATATAACAGAGTGTGAGTATGTGGTATTTATGAGTTCTAGAAATAGCATATACTATGAAGCTTTTTCACTCATGTTTGTGTTACAAATCAAAAGGGCACATGCTTCTTCACTGCCAATACATGTCAGACTTTGTTATGCTGCCCCTATATCTCAGAATAAGTAAATCAGACTATGTTTTATTAACTGTGCACATGGTATACCTGCTAATATCAATTTTTTTTGTTTTCATGGTTGGAGTAGGTACGGGATCTTGTTCTTTCCCGTGGTCTTAATCTCATCATTGAACCAGGGAGATCACTCATTGCCAACACATGTTGTTTAGTTAACCGGGTGACAGGTGTTAAAACTAATGGTTCTAAAAACTTCATTGTAATTGATGGAAGTATGGCAGAACTTATCCGCCCTAGTCTCTATGATGCTTACCAGGTAAATGTTACAAGTACCCATAGTTTGTTATATCTTCACATCAATACCTCAATAATGGTGCGGATGTATAACAGAAACAGTTTTTCCTTATGAGAAGTTTGTGTCTGATGGCTTCCATTCTGCTAAGTATTGCATCTGAAACTAATGAAGAATTCTAGACCCTATGAATGCTTGTGCTTTCTTGTAGTATATAATTACCTCTTAAAACTTGCCCAACATGTTAATATATAATGATTTGGTTGGGATGCTACAACCTCTACCCCCTTGTGTACCAAATATAGCATAATGGAAAAAACAACAATCTTGTATTTCTGGGATTTGGATCTCACCTTACCAAAGAATGCAATAACATTTTTGGTTCTGTTTTTTCAATTCTGGTTGAATCTTGACACTATTGATTGGAAAACAGTTTAAAAATGAACTAAGTTAGATTTAACATGGTATTTAAAGATGTCATCTAAAGAAAGAATTACATTCTAGAGAAACAGCTTGGATGTTTAGAGAGCATAAGGTCATTATTATGGCTATCTGAAGCTACCTTCATGCTGATGGGTTGTGTCAATTTATGTTTATATGAATGTTTAAATAATGACATCTAATTTTGGGTACAGCATATAGAGTTGGTTTCGCCTACCCCATCAAATGCTGAGATAGCAACCTTTGATGTGGTTGGCCCTGTCTGCGAGTCTGCAGATTTCTTAGGGAAAGGAAGAGAACTTCCTACTCCAGCCAAGGTAATATAATATTTTTTTCTTACATTTAAATTTAAATAGTTGCTTAAATAATAATAAGTGCGCATAATTTATGCAAAACTAAGAAGATGACAACAAGGCTAACTTGTTTAAACTATCTCATGGCAGGGTACTGGTTTGGTCGTTCACGATGCTGGTGCTTATTGCATGAGCATGGCATCAACATACAATCTAAAGATGCGACCTCCTGAGTATTGGGTAAGGAATCATCTTTATATTTGGTTAAGTAGTGAGTAGTGTTGAGACAAAATGCCTTTTGGGAATCGGTAATGAATGAAAATATTGTATTGTGAATAAAACATTTTTGAACAATATCTTACTAATATAATTTCTTTTTGATTAAGGTCTTTGGCAAGATCCTTTGAAGTTTTACATGTGTATTGAAGAGATAAAGCGACATATATTAGTTTTTTCAAACTTGTTTTGAGTTCTTACTTTTTTAAAATGATTAATTCAATCCCCAACTTTTTTTACAATGTTATTTTAGTCCTTTTTATGACTAGATTTGATGATTTTCCACGCACCTAGAGTTCATAAAATGATTAAAAATATACTATTTTACTTTGTCTTTATACCTAACTTTAATATATAATAATGGTTTTTTAATGTTACAAAGTTAGTAGAAGGATTAAATTCATATTTTGTTAAAGATTAAGTACTAATTAATCAACTTTTAAAATGCCAGAACCAAATGAGGATATTGCTTGTTATAATTATCGATTGATTGAAAGTTGGGAAATTGGATTCACTTCTTCTGTAGAACCCCATGCAAGTTTTAAACAATCAATTTTAACTTTTGTGATAAAGCATAATATTTTTGTTCTGTGAAATATTTTAGGTCGAAGATGATGGATCAGTGAGCAAAATAAGGCATGGAGAGACTTTTGAAGATCACATTCGGTTTTTTGAGGGTCTTTGAGCTGGTAATTGATCTTGTAGGAATGAATGCTAGAAAACTGTTGTGTATTTTGGAGTTTGGATCTTTCCTAGTCAATGAATGCATCACTCTTTTAGTTTTGTGTCTTCAATGTTGCCACTCTTGATAGGAAACTTGAATAAAGTTGATTTCGGTTAAATCTTACACTGCACTCTTACCATGTCAATTTTTTTTTAATTTATGATTGTTACGTATTTAAATTTATTATTATTAATATTAGTTATAAAATATATCACATTTAGAAATAGCATCATAAATGTGTTGTAATTTTGAAATATGTAAATTATGTTTTATAAGTAAATGATATGTAAAGTGTATTATTATTATTATTAATTTAAATTTATGTTAATATTAAATTTATTTAATAATGTAATAAATTCAATTATTAATAATAATTTAATGTTATATTAAAATTAATAAATTAATCATATTTTTATTATTAATTTAAGAAATATTTGTAATATATACTTGTTAATAGTTTACTTATTAATTTTGACTTGTTATATGTATAATAAAGAAGAAAATATTCCATAATGGTGACAAAACTTTAAATAAAGGATAGTTTAAATTTGCAACTGGTCAATTAAGAAGAAATACATTAAAATGTAACTGTTATAGTATATAACAATTGTACACAGCATCTGAAAAATATGGGTAGTGTCTTCTGCACCATTTTTATTATTATTATTATTATTATTATTTTCATACCATTGTTTCCTTGTGATTTTCACTACAAACGGTTCTTCTAATCCGTTAAGGTCTTTATTTAATTTTTATAATTTAAATTATAATATTATAAAATATTTAGATATTTTAATAATATAAAAAATAATAATATTTTTAATTATAATTTTTATATTTTTAATATATAAATATTATTTTAAAACAAATTAACATGCTAATTCATCTTTTTTTTCATTAAATTAACGGATTGAATGAGATTAAACATCTCAAAAAACTAAAATTATTAATTTTATTATTTTTTATGTTAATTGGTTTTATGAACCTAACTCATTTTTTCATCCCTAATTTTAACATGTTCCACTAATAAATGAATGTTCAATTATGAAAGTTTACTAATTTAAATGATTTCATTTGGTCACTTTTCTAACATTATACCCTATCTTTTTTTATTTTTTTTATCAATTTTATTTTTTAATTTTATTGATTTATAATCACATGTTCAACCTCGTTTGCCATTATACTTATTCATCAATCACATGATGCATTGATTAACCAAAACGTTCCTTGGTATAATGCAATTTACATGCATAAATTAGCAGTCACTGAGAGAAAATCAATATGAAAAATGAATACAATTAAATGATTCAAACAATATTACCTATAAATCAATATACAAGAAGAAACACAGCAATAAAAAATCTTAAGAACCAAATTATATTTGTGAGAAATTATTTATGTTTATCATTTTATTATATAAACATATTATAAATTAAATTAATCAACTATTATATTAATTATTATTATTTAAAGTCAGTTATGTTGTTCATGGCTTCTAGAGTCATGGCCTTGATAAACTTACCTCAAAACCATGGGCTGAAACGTAATTTGAAATTGAAATCAAAAGCCCATTTGTAAGCAAAGTGGACAAGTAAGGACTGAAGTATTCTTATACTTTTAAAAAATTTACAAATGAAGCAAAAAATATTTTTTTATTGACACGTATAAATTTTATAAAAATCATAATGAGAGAATTTAAGTAATTTGTATTATGAATTTAAATTAATAAGAAAAAAGTGGGATATTTTTTTTTAATTGTGCACTTTTTTCTTCGTAAAAACGCGTCTAAATTATTCTCTCTGACTCTGCGAATATAAAATACACATTATCTTTCTTCTTTTTTTAAAATCAGAGAATTTTTGTTAAAAATTTAATTTTTTAATTATTATATTAAAAAGATGTAATTTTTTTTCTGAAAATATTCAATGCTTGTAGAATGATCATATATTTGTCCTTTTAATTTAAAAATGTTTTTTATTTTTTATTTTTTTCAGTGTGTATTTTTAACTGTTATTACAGATTATTTTTTAGGATAAAAAAATTTTAAGTTAGAAAGAAAAAAATTAAGAATAAATAAAATTCAATTTTATTTGTTTGTTTTAATGAAAATGGTCTGTATTATTTCAAAAATATAAAATACTATAATAAAACGAAAGTGCTTGTTAACTAGTGACGTAGGAATGGCGCTGTGACATTGACCTTGTACGACATTTTTTTTTATATATATAAATCCAGAAGAAGATTTGAAAAAAAAAATATGCATAACATTCTTTTCTTCATTTTATTTATATTTTTCCTACATTATTTATTACGTTTCATTCACTCTTTCTTAATTTTTTTTTTCTTAGATGCCTAATCTATTCACACTATTATCCATTCAATGTTTTTTCTAAAAGCATTACGTAATTGTAATTACTTTTAAAGATATTATATCCTACATTTTTTTTATAATAACTTGTTAGAAGAAAACAATCATTTCATAAACTTAATTTATTAAAAATAATAAAATAAATAATTCTAAATGAAAAGTTAGAAACTGTATTACTTTTTTATTAAAATTTAAAAAATAAATTTTCATAAGAAATTATTCCAAATTTTAGTTGAGAAATGAAAGGTACGAAAATATTATTAAAAAGAATAACTTGTAAATAACGTAGCTTCTTCGGGAAGGTATAACATTATAACATTTCTTGTGCGTTATGCCGTTAACTATTACCAACAACCTATTACCCGCGTATTCTGCATAAGTGTTCCCTTTCCCACGTTGTATTCTTTCTTCTCTTTTCTTTCTTCCAATCCCAGCAAAACTTCCTATTATTGTTTTTTTTTTCTTTAACTCCATACCCCTTTCTCATCACTCAAAACCAAAAACTTGTTAACAAATTGGTGAAAAATACAATGTAACACTAAAAAATTAAGTATAAGATGAACATGAAATTACATATATCATAAGTATAGATAGTTGGACAAAATTAATGAAGAGCAGAACATATATGAGATATAATCATGTAAACCTTTTTCTAACAAGTTTCGAAAATTGGAGAGTTATGGGATCAGATAATATGTCTGTGAGACTACCTATTGTATAGTCTATAGTCTAAGAAAAAAATCAATCTTCAAAACCAAATTTCTTCCAAATGGCATTTCTAACACTGCGCAAGTCTCTACCTTTGAGGGTCCTTCCTTTTCCTTCATGCACAGAGAGTGAAGCCCCTCTGGTTCTAGCAAGATACTCATGAGGGGGTACTCGTTCCCCACCATCATTATCATCGTCGTCACTAACAAAATCTCTCTTCTCGTGCTCCTCATAGTCATCCTTCAAAATCTTGGACCAATCAGGAATATTCACTGGCATTGAGCATGACACCACAGGGTTCACTCTGCCACCACCCTCCACCTTTTTACACACTTTCTTCTTACCAGATTGTGGTCTCTTCTTTGACTCTGTTACAGTGTCGTTGTTGTTGGATAAGTTCCAGTTCCACACATCAGCTTCATCCAATTCCATCTCACCCTCTGTGGATTTTGCCTCCAAATCGGTGTTTGACGATGCAAACATGAAACTTACCTTCGAAAGGAAGCCCTTTTTTGAGGCCATCGAATAAAGTTTTGAGTTTCAGAACCTCTCAATGGTTTATCTTTCTGTCTCTGTTTTGCTTGTGATTTTCACACTATTGACTATTCCTTCTTCTCATTTATATAATTGCTTTTTGGTGGTTGAGGATAAAGCCAATCTAATCAAATCCACTTTTTCTCTACTCTAGGTTTCATTACACGCGTTAAGATTAACAAATATAAACTATATAATAAAACGAGAAAGGGTTTTTCAATGCAAACGTCCTCACGTGATTTTACATGAACCCCTCTTTTAACTGAGTAGCTTCCGTTAATGTCTCGGATCCATTATTTACCTCGTGACAACACCATTTTTCCGTTCAATCTAAAATTCCTTGGACACCAAGATAAGAAGAATGTTCACGTTACTCCATGGACTCATACATGCACATGCATTCACAGGATGAAAAATAAAATTTCACATTAGACACATGACATAGCTAGAGTTAAAAAAACGGTTAGTAACGTTCAAAAGTGAACCAAACCATTATATGTAAAAAAAAATTATATAATTCAATTTAATTAAATAAATATTTAATGTGAAATTATTTTTTAAAAAGTAAGATATGTTAGCTCTTAATTTAATTGAAAAATATCACAATTTCTTGTCAATAAATTTAGAACAAAGATATTCAACTAAGAGATAGAGAAACGTGGCAGAGTTATCCAAATTCAATGAGTCAGACATTTGGACCAATGAGATCTACATTGAGCTACCATATAAGGTTAGGAAAATAAAAATAACAAATTTTCATTGTCTCTTAATAAAAGTTAAGAGTGAGCACACGTTTTCCTTTATATCTTCTATTTTTTACAATAATTTCTTGTATAAATATCTATTTGATATTTTTTTATTACCATAAAATTTATTAGTATACTTATTTTATAACTTCTTATTTCTTATAAATTATTGATTTTATCTTTTTGATTTTAATTTTTATCTCTTTCTTAAAAAATTGTAAAAAAATTGTCATAATTAAAATTGTGGGTTCTACCCATCACCAGTTGAATGATGATCATGATGTGTATATCTTGACACGTTATGGTGATGGACTTTTGTCATCATATTCTCATCATGATGTGTAAGCTGCGCAAATTTTTTCATGCAAAAAGAACAGTGGTTTAGGTGTCCTTTTAAATGTTCAAAGATAAGATTTACAATTTAGTGCTATTAAAGAGAAGATTTATATTTTAAAAATAACATTCACTTAAACTTTAACACATTGGTTTTCAAACTATTCATTAGATTATAATATTGTAGTAACAATGAAAGATGCCAAAGAGATAAAGCTAGAAGTAATAAAAATATGATATAGAATTAAAAAAATGTCTTTTATATCTGTGTCTATCATAGAATGTGACATCAAACAATATATATTAAAAAATATGGTTTACACATTGTTTTTCTTAAATCAATAAAAAAAAAAAACTAATTATGATAAATTGAAAAATGCCTATTCATAACCCCAAGGCATGAACGGTTTTGATATGCAAATAAATTACTGAGAAAATTAAACTCAAAATGACTCACCACACAGTCTAATTATTTTCTGTTTTTTTAATATATAAATTAAACATACCTATGCATTCATTATTTCTCGTATTGTTTTAAAGTTTAAAGTTTAAAAAAATAATAATAATTAATTTGTTAAATAAGAAGAGAAACTTAGAATTCAAACTTTGAGATATATTTCGGTAGTTTATATATATATGAACTTCAAGCCATCTTTTCTACCTTATTTTTTTCTTTCGAACTTCTACGGCATTTTAGAATATGCCCTTCTTGAAATTTTAATAAATAAATTTAAAATTAAAATCATAATTAAATTGACAACGACATTAATTCAATATTTTAATGATTGAATGTGATCAAACTAATTAATGTTAAATAATTATAATAATTAAATAATATTTAAAAATATAACATCAAATTTTATAATATTAAAAAAGTAAAAACAAAACATATAATATTTCATACTCTTAAAATTAAAATAATATACTAAAATTTAAATCAAATATAATATAACGTTTAAGATAAAGTTTCAACATTTCGTGAATGTTTATCAACGATTTTATATCATAAAAAAATTACTTAAAAATTGTTTCTATAAAAAAAGGTTGTATGTAAACTAATATTTTTATCAATTTTGACTATTTTTGTCCTTTTGATTGTATTTGTAGTTTATTTAAATTAATCATTTATAATCTTAATTCTAATTTTTTTAAAATAGTTTTCAGTTATAATCATTTTATATAAAATATTAATTTTTATTGATTTTATTCTCCTTTAAATATTAAAAAATGATTTATGCTATTAATTTCATGCATTGTAGAATTAATTTCTAATTGTTAAAAATAATTATTATAATAAAATAAGATTAAACAAGTTAAAAGATTATTTAACATAAATCTAGTAGAAAATTCGAAATTGGTTCATTACTACTTGGTTGAGTTGAGGAAGGTAAAAGGATGGTCCTAACTTCTACTTCCATGTTAGAAAAGAAAAGTAGAAAGAAACAGTGTGTCTATCCCAAAACATGATTACCTATGATTGTCCTTTTGTTGTATTGTAGATAAGGATGAGTTTCTTTGGACCTTCTATCATTTTAAAATGCACTTTGACTAGATGAAAACGTTGTTCCAAACAGTTCTTGTTCAAATTGTTAACGAATTTGATTGGGAATTCAACCGTCGCTAATTGCAACTGTTTATTTTACTTCTTCGGCGTGCTTCGTTGCCGCTTCTTTTTTATTCATGACAAATTATTGTTTTAGGTTGAATAGAATAGAATAATGCAATTCTTAGATTCAGTTTTTTACTCTCTTTTTTTAATCATCTTAGGTCAAACAAATATATTAAAAGAAATTGGTGAATCAGCTTTTTTTCTTGGGTTCCTCGCTTGGTGAATTAATTAATATGAATCAACTAATAGCTTGGTAGAGTAAAAAATCACTTGTATAATTATACTTTATATAAGTTGTTTACTCATAGCATAGCCTATAATAGTTTGTTGTTGAACCAATATATGGGCTCAATTAATTGGGCTAAGGCATAATTAATTGAAGGAGTCCAATAGGGGACCACATGAAAACAAAGGCCTGGATCCAATCTCAAGCTCAGGTTGCTATAGCTTGGAAAGTTTAATGTTTTCCTTTTCTTTTTCCAATGGCAAATGTTAGATGTTAATATGTTAAGAACTCAACTTTTTAGGAGGAAACCAATCTTGTAACCTCTTAACAAGCATACCGGTAACATGTTTATAGAATTGAACAAATAATAATAATATTAGTAACATTTTGTAATTGAAACTAAGTCTCCATGAGGAATTACTAATTTTAACTCCAAATTTGGAATCCTAACTGTGTTTGTTATATTCCAGTATAATTTAGAGGCTATGCCCAAATTGTCAAAAAATGAGTTAAGAAAAGACGAAAGTTTCATGGAGAGGAGAAAACTGAGGAGTTGCTGACATTTTCTTTTGCCTCTGTGACAGGCAATTAGTTTGGGGGTTGTAGGGTTTTAGAAACCGACAACGAAATGATTCCATGACACGTTTGTGGTTATATCATTCCTAGATTTTTTGGGTTAATGTTGTCATAAACGAAGCTTCCAAAGACTCCTTCGTTCTCCACGTGTCTTTTCTTAAAACCGTACAGGTATACATGCCCCTATTTATGCCTTCGCCAAATATCTCCTACCTAATTCCATCTTCTGAATTCAGTTCCTTATTCAGTTCCACCAACTATATATACACGCTCTAAGGGCTTTGCCAATTAACACATAGCCACCAAAAAAAATCCTGATTCTTACTTGATTTTCTCATAAAAAAACCCTTGTGCAAAGCCTCTTCGGAAAAACAAAATATCTACTACACCTCTCTCTTCTTTCTAGACATAGGAGGAGGAGGAGAGAAAAAAAAAATCATTTTGCTACACAGATTGCAGATTGGAGGAGAAGCAATATTCTGTAGTGAGAATATATTCCAATGGCCAAGGGAATGAGAAAGCTAAGTTCCTGGATAGAGGTTGCCCCAGCGCCTATAATTTTCCCAAAGAAGCCTTCAAACACACCTTCTTTGGAAACAATCACTGAAGAAGAAGATGCAGAAGAATTCGAAAATGACGATGATCAGTTTTAATAAACGACCTTCTATCTACTCTATTTGATGTAACTTGTTATATATATATATATATAAGTTGAGAAGTAGGGTATGTATCCATCGATCATCGATGCATGCATGCATTTGGTGGTTGGTTCGTACCCGCATGTCGCGTCCAACGGTGGCTTTTATGTTTTCAGGATGGCTAAGTAGTGAGTAACATGTTTTAACATATTCTCCCTTGAAGATGGGAACGTACGTCAAAACATGTTTTTAAGACTCTATAGTGTTATGCCGAGAATCTGTTGTGATCTTCTCGGTCAAGGTCAAGTTCTTAACATATTTGTACATTTGTAAAAATATATATGCAGATAATTATATAATAAATTTTTCTTCTTCCAATGTGAATATTATATATATATATATATATATATATATATATATATATATATATATATATATATATATAATTGAAGAAAAAAGTGTTTTTTTTTCTCTAGTATCTGTTTTTCTTTTGAATGGATGGGGTGCTGGTAAATGACAAACTACAATTTATCTTATTGCTTTGATTATTAAAGATTATATTTTATTATTTAATTATTTAAATTTTTTCATTTTTATTTTAATATTTTTCATGTTCTTTATTATTATATTTTTCATTTTTAATATATTTTATCAATCTATTAAATATGTAACATGTGCCGAAATACACTAAAATATATAAAATAAAAATGTTACATTTATTGCATAGATATAATCGAAGTTGTTGACACTGGTCGTTTTTATTCAGAAAGTATTTTCTGAGGAAAATGATCTTTTATTCATATTGTTATTCCAAACAATAAGTAATAACCGTTTAGTATTTTATCCTAGTTTTTTCGTTA